GTTGAATTTGGCATTTAAGTGTTTAGTTTGGGTGGTGTAATTTATTACAAGGCAGATTACATTAAGAAGCAATATCACTGAGATAACCACTGACCAACAGGAAAACCTAAGTAGCTAGCTTGATATACGCTTCGTAAACTGAAAGCACTCGATTCGATTCCTGGATGAATCGATGGTGTCTACCACTAAGGAGTTCGAATAAAGCAGAAAGCAGCTATTCTGCCGTCCCTGCATTTTGAAGGTTCTGTAATTTACATCAGTTTGGGAAGATGTCCCCCTTAAAATCTGATTTACTTAACAACTTAAGCTTTTTCGGCTTCAACGAATCTTTAATTACGCTTCATTCGATGTGATTTATGAGGCGTTAACTGTTTTACATATCCATCACTTAATTACACTGGTGTATACCCAACTTTGAAACTGTAAGAGCTGAATATTGATTATCTACTGAATGGACAGTGCACTTACACAACAGAAGGAAAGAAGGTCACGACTTATTTTATCAAGTCCACATGTGCGATTAGTATACATCACTTCCGCATCTCCATGTGGAGACCAGAATTTGAGTGCTGAGAGTAAACAGCATGTTGCTGAGTGGTTCGAAGTGCGAAGGATTATAGGTGAACTATGTTGTGTACACATTTATTCTAATGTATCTGATTAACTTAGGAACATGTATAATTCCAGTCCTGCTTTGATTTAGGTGGGAATTGTCTTATTTAAATCATATGTAATATGTCTGTGTCGTGTTCCATGAATAATTTTCTCAGTACGCTTCCTAACCAGCCAATTGTCTTGGCCACTGCGAATTAATTTTTAGTCAAAATCGATGCATGCACAACAATTCGCGATTTCTTTCTAAAGACAGTTGTGAATTTAAAATAATGGGGATTTGTTACTCAAGTGGAAGCTTTTGATATGGCTGTCTTCTGTTAGCTGGGTGAATTAATTGCACTGCTTTAATGTTCCCACTAGATAACATATGCAGCTCAAACTTCAATGTGGGGTTAAATCATTTGAATTGTGTATGGATAACCTACACATTTCCAGTCTAATTGTTGTCCATAATTGTCTGCAAGCATCAATATGAAGGAATGCATGCCGCTTCTTATGACGCCTAGTTTGTGTTTGTGAACTCGGAGTCACAGCGGACACAATATTTTGTTTACCACAATTCAAGCGCTTTATTTCGTAGATAGTGTTGATCTTGTCTTCTACTGTTGTTGGGTATGCTGATCTGCATAGCAGTGAATGAAATGATTTAATTGGTTTGTGGATAACATTCATATGGACATTAGAAAGAAGAGAACACGAAGTTCAGCAAAGATGTTGATCTTTTCGGCGATTTCATTTTCAAAAGCTGTACAATCTCATTTAAATACATAATTTTACATGGATACAATTCTTGTTTGATTGCAGATAATTACGATGGCGAATAAAAGGTGATAATTATTTTCAACTAGATATGGTATACAATAGGCTTAGAAACAAAATTACACAGAATTAGAACGGATAACAAGTGTGTAAAAATGAGCATGTAAACAAAATTGAAATAATAATTTTCAACTTGAGATGGGAATTAGGATGTGCGAACATAGATTACAATAGCCTTAGAAACACAAAAATTCTACAGGATTAAGATATAATTGTAAAGTAGTTATTTTAAACGAATTTTAAGTGTCAACAAGAAAAGCATGGAAACAAACTTAAAATAACTGTTTTTATAAGTGAAAATAATGGGGTGAATCGAATGAATACAAAGGGAGTAAGAAATATTCTTCATACATGGTAGGATGCATCTTCGTGCTCTTCCAGAAGACGGTTGTTCACTTGCCCAATTTCGACTCAGCTCACACAGTCAGTGTTTATATCACTTCATTCTGGCTAGCAAGCATTACTAATTGATGTGAGTAGTATGCAACTACTCATCTCATTCAATCAGTAGTATACAGCAATTAAACTTGCCTTCTTGATTAATATGTACGTTATCAAGCAAATCACCTGTTGTGATCTGAATAATCTCGACCTTTGAATGAGACTGTCACAAAATAATCACATCGAACTGTGTAAACTGAGAAGGATCTGTGAGTTAAAGATTTGATTTATGTTTTTTCTATTCTTCACTCTTTTATGTGAGATCTGTTCTTGGGTATTTAGTTGAGCATTGTGCTACTTCTGTTTGATTATGCGTATGGTTTACTGAGGTATTTCTCATTAGAAGTTATCATTTAGTTTTGGTGATTCTGGGGAAGCAAATAAATATCCTAGTGTAGTGTCACCAGGATCATGGATGTGATGATGTCGTCTAGAAAGATTCGCGATTAGATCATCTGGCTCAGTGAATAAGTATACAGACCGCTCATCATCCAAGCCGATTCGATTATCGCAAACGTATCCATAAAAATGACAAAGGAAGATATTGAAATAAGAATAACACACGAGCGTGTAAAATAATCACTCTAAAAGATGACGATAGGATAATACACATTTGTGATAGCAAGATATAAATATCACAAGTGAAATACACAGGTTGAAATAAATTACATTCCCAAAAAATTCTTTATAAGCCTCAGTAGACAGAAAAAACAACAACCACATTAACCCAACACGAATACAAATATTACTACCACAACAAGGACTACCTCGCGAATCATCAAAGTACTACAGCAACACAAATAATAATACTGTTACTCGAATATTGATACCACTACTGCTATAAGAATATCAAAGGAGATACTGTTACACGAAAACTAGTAACAATGATCCCACATGTATACTACCGCCACTACTTTTACACGCATAATAATACTACTACAGGTATCTGAATATTAATAATACTACTGCTACACCAGTGCATACACAATTACCAGTACTATTACGGCTACTCGAATACTTAAACTAATCTTCCTACACCGCAACCATTTCACTTACAGCAACACCAATACTAATGCTACCACTGTTACATGAATACCGATCCTTTTACACCAAATCGAACACGAATACTACAAATGTTACATGAATACAAGTACTGCTGTTGCTACACGAATATTAACACTACCTTGGGTACTCGAATACTTAAACTGATTTGGCTTGCTTACACCTTGTGCTAGCAAAATTTTCCGTCGTTCATACTGCATCTAATTTATTTATAATTATTTATTTATTTTTTTATAATTATTCAATTACGTGTCCGAATCTTATTACTTACTCTCGTAATTGTTTAAAATTGCAGGTCATTATCGAACAAGATTAATTGCTTGGGTACTCTATTATGTTCAAATATTTATCGTATTACAGGTATAATAAGGCTTCCAGAAACTTGGCTCCACGATTCATATGATAATAATAATAATAATTTTTATTTCTGTAACAGAAACCAGCCATTTTTACAGGCATGAACATATGTACATTTATGAAAACTTATAGAATATATAATATGATTTGTTAATTTAGAAATAAGTTGAATACTGGTAAATGTGAGAGAAACATTTAAAATGAAGTGTACAAATAAGGAAATAGATATAGCGTCAAATCTAAACTGTGATTGAAAAAAAAATACATGTCAATTTCACGCGGGAACCATAAATGGTTGCGTTAGTTGAGGAAGGTAAGTGGCATTTCTGTACAGGTGCTGACGTATTACATAAGAGATGCAGAATAAACAATAACTATCAGTAAATCATTCAGAAAGAGCTTTAAAGTCTATTAAACTTTAAATTTACCCGTAAGTACATCATATTTGTGACATTTCCAGTTGTTTATGAGACCCACTTTGAACTTGTCAGCAGATTTTATAATACCGATGATCCCGTTATTCACCAGATGAGCTAGCAATATCACGAATAAGTAGAGAAAGCAGTATGTTTGAAAAGAGAAGAAGACACAAGAAAACCAGCAGACAGGTGCAGATCTGCACCTTCAGTATTTAAAAGGTGTTAATAATTCAAAATATATAACAGGCATGGGGTTTATCGTTTTTTATTGTTTTTTTTCAGGAAATATTATTTTCCCGATATTTTACAGTCTCTTCTGCGAACAATTAGTTTAAAGTGAAAGACAGGTGATAATTTCACCTACTTACGAGGTTTAAAAGGAGTAAAACACAAAAGTCAGAGTGCGTGAGCTATGTAAAAGAAAAGCGAGGGCCTAGTAATGTATGTTTTTCTGAAGTATACAGTTCGGTGTCCTTCTGAAGTAGCGGACTCATACCATTTACTTTCATTCGGGAGTTTGCGTCTAAACTTCGGCTCTAGGCAATTTTCAACTAATATTTCTTTTTTCATTATTTTTTTTTATATTTTTAGTTTTTGTTTATTCTCATTTTGAAGAAGCCATCCGAACTCAGGAGCCATAGCAATAGAGTGCTGTCCCACAGATAAGGGTGGTTCACATATGTCCCCACCATCATATCCGCTGACTAGCAGTCACCACCCTCCCACCTTTTTTGTGCAAGGCCCTGTCGGAATGCTTCATTTTTTTAAAATTATTTATTTATTTTTTTAAATTTCTGTTGCAAAATGCCACAAACTTTTTGTTTGTCCAGCTATTTATTCGTCGACTTACTCAAACTTATGGTATGAATGACTACTTTCAGAAGAACATCATGTATGTTTCATCTTTTACAGCATTTTGAAGACGAAAAATGTAAGAAAGAAAGGCTATCTGAGACTTCATTTTAGATATAAACAAATGTAGTTTAGAAAATCAGGGAGTAATCGTGCAGCATTGAGCAAATAAGCAGTGATAAGTTATAATATGTTGTTCTAGAAAATTTGAACATACAGGATTATAGTAATAGAATAGTAAGATAAGATTCATTTTAGATATAAACAAATGTAGTTTAGAAAATCAGGGAGTAATCGTGCAGCATTGAGCAAATAAGCAGTGGTAAGTTATAATATGTTGTTCTAGAAAATTTGAACATACAGGATTATAGTAATAGAATAGTAAGATAAGATTCATTTTAGATATAAACAAATGTAGTTTAGAAAATCAGGGAGTAATCGTGCAGCATTGAGCAAATAAGCAGTGATAAGTTATAATATGTTGTTCAAGAAAAGTTGAACAGAGAAGATTATAGTTATAGAATAATAGGATAAGAAAATTCACCGTTTATTTGAATATTTAGACAACTACCATTTTGGCCTTAATTTGCGTAGAGCTAGACGTATAGCACTAGGCAGGCTCTGGAGATATTTTAATACCAGTCGTCTTCAGTTGATTTGCATCTGGAATTTGAGATTGAACCTTAGCATACTGAAATACTCATAATACAATATTATCAGGGATATATGCAAAAATATTTGAAGGAAATTAAAAAAAAGTTTAAAATTTAAGGCTGATTAAGAATAGGTGTCTAGGGTTGTGAAAGCAATCATAGTGAAAGTGACTGTCACACATAGGGTTTACAGATTTCAGGAGCTAACAGTGAGGATCAGAGGAGTGCCGTATTAGATCTCTAATTTTTAGTTTGTCACATACCCCTTCTAACCCGTTGTTAATGAAATATTTGTTCAGCAAAGATGAGAAAGTTTTTGGGGTAGGACTGTCTCTAATTTCAGTTGGAAGACGGTTCCAAATGCAACGGTATCTCACAGTGAAAGAGTTTGATCTGTATTTTGTATGACAGCGGGGAACTTTAAAAGAAGAAGATTTATTTCTCAGGTTATATTTCTTAGGTGAACTGAAAGTAAAGTCATTGTGGGGGAAATATATAAGCCCTTTGGCAATCCTAAATGTAATTTTTAGGTTGAACTTCAGTCGTCTAACCCATAAGGGTTCCAAGTCGAATAGATTACATCTGTCATAGTAAGAGATGCAAAGATTATCACCTACTAGACGTTTAGTAAACGCCCTTTGTAGACTTTCTAATTTGCATCTGTCTTTTACGGAGACACTGTCCATGATAGGGGGACAAAATTCAAGTAAGGGCCTTACGCACAACTTGTACAGCATTATTTTGGATTCACTGGTCTTAAAGTTTCGGAATAAAAATCCAAAGAGCCTTTTGACCTTTGATACTTGTAATTTAACGTATTCAGCCAGGCTAAATTCTGGAGTGTATTTCAGACCCAAGTCTGTTGTAAGCGGCAGACGAGGAATATGTTTGTTGTGTAGGGAGATGGAAAGTTCAGATGAAATGCTTTTGGAGCATAGCACACCACATTTTTCAACGTTAAACTTCATTTTCCATGTGTTACACCATAATTGGACGCTCTCAATATCATCTTGAATCCTACTAAATACACATGACACTTCATTTCTGAGTGAGTGATACACTATTTTGATGTCATCGGCGAATAGGAAAGGTCTGCCATGTTTAATAACGTCGCAAATGTCATTGAAATATAACAGGAATAGCAGTGGACCTAGGACACTACCTTGTATAACTCCACTTGTTATCCGAACGGGGTTGGATGTGTGGGAACCTAACCTGACCATCTGCATCCGGTTGCTTAGAAACGAACTGAGCCAGCTTAACAATGAACCCTGTATCCCATAGGACTGGACTTTTGATATTAACAGTCGGTGGCTTACAGTGTCAAAGGCTTTACTAAGATCTAAGTATACGATAACTGTGATCATACTGGAATCTTTAAGTTGTGAGATGTGGTCGAAAAATTGTAAGTGGCATGTCGTACAAGAACGTGACTTCATGAAACCGTGTTGATAAGGAGTGATAAGTTTCTCTTGAGAGAGGAAGTCAAAAATGGCACTTTTCACGATCTTTTCCAGAACCCTTGAAATAACAGAAGTTAGGTTAATGGGTCTGTAACTCATGACACTTGAACGGGAGCCTGACTTATACCTAGGGGTAATGTGCGTGGTTTTCCATGCATCTGGATATGTTCCAGTTGATAGAGAGGTAGAGAACAATTTAAGAAGGAGAATAGGAATGTCTTCACCACCGTATTTTAAAAAAGTTGAGGGAACCATATCAGGACCTGGGTTGTTTGAACTTTTAAGAGAAGTGATTGCTTTCTTAATATTATCTAAAGAAAAGCTGATAATTTCTAAGGTTTTTTGTGAACGTACAGGGAATAGAGGTTGTGGCAACGTATTATCATCATAGGTATATGACTGTGAGAAATGGGAGTTTAGAAGCTCACAAATTATTTTAGAGTCACTAGTGGTTTCGCCATTTTCTAAAATGAATTGTATATCCGTTTTACGGGAGTTTAGCCTTTTGCGATAAAGCCTACAGATTGCAGTGTATTTAGAGCTATCTTTAAGAGCTGCATGTTCGTGTCTGAGTAGGGCTTTGTCGTTATTTTCTTTCAAAGCTAGATAAATGTTCTGTATATTTAGAAGGCATGAGAAGCCGTTTTCTCTGTGGTACTGTCGGTACAGCTTGACAATTTAATCCCCCTGAATTGTCTCACTAAGTACAGACAAGATCGAAGCAACTCAAGGAAGAAGCGAGGTGATGGTGTTGCTACTTTTAACAATTCTAAGTGGTCTGTTGCCAACAACGTCTGCTTTAAATTCTCAAATGATAATATTGAGTGTATAACTGTTGAATGTGGACCTAAACACCTATCCAAATACAAATTCATTTATATCACGAACATTTATGTCACACCTTGTTGTAGCACTTCAGAACTATCTATGCTTGCTGATGAATTCACTATTTTCGCTGCCGCCTCTTTTGGAAACTTATTGTCCATAGTGACAGGTGATTTTAATTTATGTGACTGCAGCTTTCTCACAGTGCTAGGTCATGAAAACGCCGCCAACTTTCCCACTAGACTGGATTCTTCTCTTGATTTTGTTTTTATAAATGACAGCGGAATATACGAAGCTCGTAAAAGAGCCCCACTCTTGAACTTAGATCATTGTATTGTACGGGTTTTACCTAAAATTTATGGAAAGTTACACAAAAGAACTTTTTAACACCTTTCCAAGAAAACTGTACATGGATGTTACTCTAAAGAGAATTGTAGTACCCCTATACCAACTGTAAACATGCTTTTTAATCTAATTTGTATACTTGTATTATATATGTACACAGACCGATTTTATATGTACTTCGCAAACATTTGTCAATTTACTGTTGAACATTACCTTGACACAATTTCGAATTTGACTACTGCTATAATACACGATCGTACTATTCGCAAGTGACTTTTGATTTACGTTGTGGGCGTCGAGTAGCCACAACGTGTGCGCACATTAATAAGAGCGAAAAAATACTAGAATATACGTGTACGGCAGTTTAGTCAAATAACGCACGCAACAGAATGTTCAGAATCTTAGGGGCATTGTGGTGATTGACTATTTCTATCTCTGTATCTTTTAAATACTTACTGTTGATTGTGAATATTTCTTATATGAATTGCAATAATAATTCCGCTAAATACAAATTCCTGAATTCCGCCCTCTCTGTGTTTTGGTTGGATTCTTGTAATTCGGTCATCTCGAAATACTAATACTACGATTACAAATAATTACTACTGGCATGCTCAAAGACACAAAGTGGGACTTGTTTAATGGAGATTCTCTTGGTGACACTATCTCTAATATTACATGTTCCCCCAAATTTCGTCTTGACACCTGTTGTCCCAGAGAAACGCTCTTCATCAGATTCGACTGCTTCCCCTCCTCTCAACATAAAAAGCTTCGCAGGCAAAAAGAAAAGTTATATAAACTGAAGGATAACATTGGTGAGGAAAGAATAGATATCCTAATCAAGTCTGAATACAATTTATAACCAGAAGTTCATTTCCTGTAAAATGCCTCTAATATATGAAAACTTTTCAAGGAAATTACTGGTGATAAGCGGATGAATAGTGTTCCTTATTCATTTGACGTTTGCATACTAAACAAGTCTTGCATACATCCTCAAACAAATGCCAAACTTTCTAGTGTCAAAAATGTCAATGAAACCTGCTTCCCTGGTTTCAATACAAATGATGTTCTAAAATGTCTCCAGTCTCTGAACCCTTCTTGTAGCCTAGATCCAGATGGTTTGCCTAGTGTTATTCTTAGAAAGTGTACAGATATCCTGTGTTATCCTCTCATGGACATATTTAATGAATCTTTTTCCAGAAATTTCGCGCCAGCCGTTTGGAAGGACATTAAAATTGTACCTACACCTAAGTCGTCTAATGCTAAAATTTCCAAACTGAATCAGCGATACTGTTTGAGACACACTCACTGTTATTATTATTATCGCTATTATTATTATTATATTTAATATTCTCAATTCAGGCTTCGAATATTTTTGACTTTATATCGTAAACATGGACAAATTCCTCTGGTTACTTTTGTTTTAATTTTTAGTTTTATTTATATTTTAAGTAAATCAGATGCAATATTGTGACAAGTGCAGAGAATTCCATTCTGTATTACAAGTACTGGTTTTGGAATAAAGTAGATTATTTTATATGTCTAATCTTGCTTCTTGAGTATAAAAGTTACGCAGAGCAAAGCCAATAATTCGTATACAGTCAGATACTACCTTATTTAAATGATCAGAAAAGGTTAAATCTGAGTATGCTATCCCAAGATCTGTGACTGCGTTCAGTTTTGAAAGGAGCTTACTCTACACATATAGACACGCTCTCGGTTTCCAGCGTCCAGATTAGGCTATAACCAAATTGTGTGGGTTGAAAGCCAGTTGCCATTTTTCTCTGTAATCGCCTGGGCTGTTTAATTTGTGTTGGATTTAACTCTCAGCGGTCATGTCATCATACCCATAATCATATACTATCTTGACACCTGTTACAATAGTACGGCAATAGCTTATTTTACGGCGTCTTAAGTATAATTCACTAATTAGAATCATGAAAACACATTTTAAGTGATGCTTTCATCTGTTGACCGAGATGAACAAAATCTCTTTCTTCACTGCATGTGTGATTCAATGTCTTGAACAAGTAGTTTTCTCTGAGTAGGTAAAGAGTACTCTAGTGGTAAATAATTCGCCAAAAATATTGACCACAACACCCATCACTGAACATTGGATGCCGACCCCCACTGTTTAAGTCAACTTGTTTAGCTGAAGGCTTCCGGTCAAGCATCCACGCCACTTGGCGCTCCGTCTTGTCACGTTCGTTCGTTCGCGCACAATCCCTAGCTAAGCAATCATCTCGCACTCCGATTTGGTCCCTAAATATATCTCATAATTTGGACGATCAACAGTGGTCTTTTGCCTGGCCTTTGGTCCACGCGGAACTAATACTATAGGAGTTGTTGGTATTAGATCTTGCCTTAGTATATTCCGTACTATCCGTGAACGTCAATACCATCAGCCTCTAAAGTACGAACAGATAATAAAATAGTCCTGCGAATCAGAGTTATCCTAACTCAAATGGTTGATGAATCCACCAATATCTGTTACAAGCTACCCATACTAACGAAAGGCTTTACATCCTCACCCCTACACTAAGGTAACAATTCAGAGCTTCAATATGACTCTACTTCAGTAATACGATATTGGACTGTGAGCCACACTTATTGTGTGAGGGCTGATTATGCAGCCCAGTTGCCCTGACTGAAGTAGGCAAAGCGTGACTGGAACACCACTAGCTGAAAGTGGAGTAGTTAGGCCAATGAGCTACATCTCCACCACTATTTCTGACGGTGATTATATGTAACACGCTTAAGTAGATGACTTTACGCAGTGACTTTATCATGAATTCCATCGGAAACGGGTGGCGAATAACGATGGTGATGCCTTGTGCAACGTGCGGAGTCTGGAAAAGGGGGAATTTCTCTGCAACTTCCTATTTCCCCTTATTTCCCCTTTTCTCTCAATAGTGTCCCACTTTTATCCCCTTTTCTAACACGTTGTTCCCCGTTTTTGTACGACAGGGGCGGGAAAGCGAAGTAATTTATTCACAAAAGGATCTTACATTGATTAGCAGTTTCGACTATCAATTCGTGTCTTTTGCTTTGCATTTGGTCCACGAGAAACGAATACTATAGAAGTTGTTCGTATAAGATCTTGCGTTAGTATATTCCGTACAAATCGCGAACGTCAATACCATCAACCTCTAAACTGGTGAGCCCAACCGCGAACTCTATAAATACGCAGATAAACCCGGTGAGTTCGTTCCTTTTTGAATTTGTTTTTGTACTATATTTTATTCGACATTATTTTCGTCATGAGTGAGCTTAGTCTCAAGGTCATCCGTATCCGCTCAACTCCTAGAACCATTCAGCTCGTACTATACTGGCCAGATAATGCTGAAACGTGGTTTCTGCTAGCTGAAGCAGATTTTTGTGAGCATGGGATAACCGATCAACGTTCACAGTTACTTGCAGTTATTCACGCCCTACCGCGGGAATTCAGCAAGTGCGTAACTTTGCAGATGTCGAGTCCCGAGGTAAGTAACTCGTACGAGTTGCTGAAAGCATCCCTCCTCAGGAGAAACGTTCTCACGGACAGACAACGTCTAGACGAATTATTTCGTAACATCGAGTTAGGGGATCAGCCAGCCGTGAGCATGCTGAAAAGAATGAAACAAGTCGTCGGCCAAAGTGAGTTCGACGAAGGACTTTTCAGAGAACTCTTCTTAACCAAACTGCCACAGTCTGTACAGACCGTACTTGTGACACTTCAGGGTACTGTAATAGAGGACTTAGCTATCACTGCAGATAGGATTCTAGAAATAACTAAACGGTCAGTTCCCGAAATATGCTCGGTGACTAAGCAGACTTCGAGTAAGGATACTGCAGTGATAGAGTTATGCAACTCCATCCAACAGATGTTTAGGTCAAACATGCCTTCTAACTCCTCCGACCGTCGTCCTAAATCTCCTCAACGCAGGAACTCACGTGGTCGATCTAAGTCCAAACCACGTTCACTGAAAAACCCTGACTGATGCTGGTACCACAACACCTACGGCCAAGAAGCAAAGTGCTGCCGTAAGCCTTGTAACTTCGGAAATGTCTCAAAGTCTGTGGGAAACTATCCGGCCGGCTCGCGTTAGCGGCAACCGTCGCCGGTGGCACTAGCAGCCTACTCTACATTCATGATATGATCAGTCAGACTCGATATTTAGTCGACACAGGCGCTGAAGTCAGCGTTCTTTCTGCTACAGCAGCAGATCGACAGAAGGAACCTACCTTCAAATTACAGGCTGCAAATGGAAAACCAATCGCAACCTTTGGTAGGAAATACGTCTATCTGAACGTAGGTTTACGCAAACCTATTCGATGGATTTTTCTTCACGCTGACGTCACAATGCCCGTTGTCAATGTAGTTGAAGATTGAACGATCAATTCATGGTTGTTTGCTCAAACCCAACTTCCCCAATTTTCGCGGAGGCATCAATACGACA